GAGGAGAGGAGAGGGGATTGAATACTCTTCGTAGTGACAATTTTTAGTGTTATTGTTTATAAATATTAATATTCGATTATATTCTGTGCATTGAGAAACACTTCCAAGCACGAAGATTTGAGTAGAACTCCCTCCTGTGGAAGTCTATTTTACATTTTCACAGCTCTTACTGTGGAGAAGACTTTCCATATGCAAAAGTCAATGGGCAATCCTTGGTCACACATATAGTGGTGCCAATCAGATGAAGCCAGCACTGCTCTCAGCATCATTGCAGGGAGCCATGGGGCAGGTCTATAACACCCGACACTCACAGTATGTCCTTAGTCTTGCTAAGACTGAGGACATCTTGTGGCAGAACTGAATTACTGCATGAGGCAGCATGGATTGGATAAAGCCGGAAATACTTGTTAAGCACCTGCTGGGGGACTCTCCTATTTTTTTATAAAGCAATTGCTTGTACCTGTGCTTTAAGGTGTTTTTTTTCTGTTTTTTAGGAGTACAATGGACTGAAATGGCTCCTGAGGGTTACAAAGGCTCCTTATAGCTGTTTTATTAGCTTGGAAAAGGATGTTAGATATTGAAGAACAGAAATGAACCCTAACCCTAATGCTAACCTCAATACATTGTTTATAAACAAAGTCAGGTGTTCTAGTTTTATTGAACACATTTTGCAGTTCACATGGTGAAATGTGAGGATATTTGGGATGAAATTTAAAGAATGAGTGTACTTTAGGACCAAGTGCACCTGTTCTTTTTGCTCCTCTCCCCTGACCTAAATGACCCCACCATCACCCTATTCAGATCTATACGGAGATCCAAGGGTCACTGTTTGTTGACTTCCAGCCCTGCAAGTGTCCCTCTCCTGCCCATGTACAGTCCATCTCCCTGCAGGACATACTGTAGGTCCTATAGAAGTCTATGGGGCTGTAATGTGCAGTTACGGCCAGCAGAGGGAGAAGTGCAGCTGAGCTGTGGATATGAACAAAACCTGAACCCTGCCCGTTGCATCTCTGTAAGTATGGATTTGCAGAGGGGGAGGGTTGGATCATTTAGGTCAGGGTTGGGGGACAAAAAGGATAAGCACACTTTATTTTAAAGTGCATGTGAATGTAATTTTGCTGCATAACCAATTGAATCCAAATGAGTCCTCTCATCCCTGTAAATGATGAGGAAGGAGATCAATAGTCAGGCACCGATGACAGCTTCTGTGCCGATAATTACAGAATCTGCCAGCATTTAGCTCTACTTGCCAGCGATGAGGAACCATTAAAGGAAACCTGTAGTGACAACGCATGGAGGCAGCCATTGCTGACCACTGCTTCTGGAAATAGTGGTACTTTGGCTGCCATGCTGGTCCAATAGCTTCTGTATTGTGCAAAGACCAACGCACACATCTGATGTTACAATATCTGTCCAATCTCCTTTATATCTACCAGATCTGTGCAGTATGAGCCACATAAACAATACAATCTCTAGTTGTTGGTAGATCCAGGGCTTTCCCTAGGTAAATCGCACATGAAGAGATGTCATTGTTGGGGGTTGGAGGTGCACCACTGACCATTACCTGATGGGGCAAGAGGACGCTGGATCACGATGCCAGCGGCTCTGTACGGCGTCCACCCAGTTCACCAACGTCACTGGTTGCCAGGAGCTAGGCGGGACTCAAGCCAGAGCATCCCTCTAGCTCCTGGTGACCGTTGACGTCAGTGAGTTGGTTGTCACCGCACAGAGCGTCACAGGTTGCTAAGAGCTCTTAGCAACCTGGGACGCTATGGCCGCCCCCCCACCCCTGAGATATCAGTACAGATTTGCTTTAAAGCTGCGTCTAACTTATAAAACCAGAGACCTCAGCTGCCTAAATCTGAGCAGTCTGGGACCGGTAGACATAGATGGGGAGCGGGGGGCTCCTTTGTTCACCATACATTCATTTTGCATGGGCGCCATATAACAGTCAGCCATCAGGCACTGAGAGGAAAGGCAGGCCTTGATGAAGGACTCAGGGCATTGTGGGTAATTGGATCAGCGCTCAGGAAGGAGATGTAATAGGATTTCCTGACTTTTTGATTGACTTTATCCCCTGAAAATACAAAACTGTCCAAGTGTTAAGAGGGGCGGTAATCCTCTGACAGCAGATTAGCGTTGTCGGAGATCTCACTACCTGGCAGCCCTGAGCCTGCAGCGAATCCATTGCCTTCCTGATGGCCACCCCGGGGGGGTCGCAGATCTCCACCTGCGTCTTGACGTTGTGCTCGTAGTACGGGCCCATCATGAAGTAATTCTCCCCCCATTCGTCCGCCGTGATCTTGGCTTTAGACTGGATCACTGTGTAGATCCCGCCGACTGGAAGGAGACACAGAAAAGGAAAAAGTGGTTCTGGTTTAAGGCAATGTAAACGGTCAATGAGTACCTGTCACCTGTACACATATCAGAGTACTTGTCACCTGTACACATATAAGAGTACCTGTCACCTGTACACATATAAGAGTACCTGTCACCTGTACACATATAAGAGTACCTGTGTCACCTGTATAAGGATCACAGCCTGGACCTGCCACCTTGTAATTCTGGAGGCTGATTGGCGGCACTGGCAATAGGCTGAATTCACTAAGCTATAATGCATGTTAATTGCCCTTCAATCCACTAAATAACCTTGTAATGTAAACGGTCAATGAGTACCTGTCACCTGTACACATATCAGAGTACTTGTCACCTGTACACATATAAGAGTACCTGTCACCTGTACACATATAAGAGTACCTGTCACCTGTACACATATAAGAGTACCTGTGTCACCTGTATAAGGATCACAGCCTGGACCTGCCACCTTGTAATTCTGGAGGCTGATTGGCGGCACTGGCAATAGGCTGAATTCACTAAGCTATAATGCATGTTAATTGCCCTTCAATCCACTAAATAACCTTGTC